CTCGCCTATAAAGGCAACATCAGAAACCAAGCACACCTGCTTGGTTGTAACCTGTAGCCAGGTTACATTTGCATACCTGCACTCACATCAGGTCCCATCAACAGTTCTGCTTTTATGGATTTGGGGAAAAATAGATTCCACCACCCCCCGTCTTTTCTGGCTCTTGTCCATGAAACACCCGCCCGAAATGCAACAGGAAAAATAGAGTAAAGAGTCTTCTGGGCTGGTTCTCTCCCAACCCCCGAGTGAAGAGACCCGAGTCCCTCTTTCTTCATCCAGCTGTGTTTTCGGGGAGGGGGATTTAGGGTACAGACAGAGGCCTTCTGCCATGGAGGGGGGGAGTCTCTTTGGGGTGCAGGTCAATGAGCTGAGATTCAGAGATAAACCCAAGGTTTAACTGTCCTCCTGCTTTGTCCTGACAGCGTGGATTAATGGAAGAGGTGCCGGTTTGTGTGGAGTGCATGGACCCCCCCCCGGCAAAACGCACACCATTCATGGAGTGCGGGGGGTGGACAGTCCATTTGACCCTTTTGGAAATGCGGAAGGCCGCCCGACTCGGCTTTCCAGCTTTCTCCGAGAGGCAATTTGCTTTTCCTGTTGTTGTTCTTCCCTCTGAGGGATTCCCAAGAAGCTAAAAAGTTGGCCCATCCATTACTTCTTAACCCATTAACTGGGTAATTTAATTAGAAAGCAACATTCAGTTTAATTTACAATTTCTGAAACACATCACCGCAAGTTATTCAAAGGAAAGGTGATTATCTGTACAGTTTTCCCCCTCATTCCTTTTAAGAAGAATCATAGTGAAATGAAATCCTTCCACAGTTACAGGCCCTCCTCCGGCCAAAATCCCCCCCCTGCCCCCATAGTCCGTGAAAGTACCGGTCAATTGACCTCTGGCTCCATGCTTCCACCACCACCGCCACCACCCCTTTGCCTCCTCCAAGTGGGTCTGCAGGAGGTCTCGTGGCTGACCGGGGAGCTCCCGGTCGCCTCCTGGTGACTTCTCTACCTCAGGAAAGACCGAGGGTACGGCTGCCCCCGCGCCCCGGAGGAGGGCTCCGCTCCACCCAACCGTGCCGGTCAAAGCTTCAGTTGTTCAGTCCACTTATCACAGGAGTGCATGTTGGAGGCGTCGGCAGAGGGAATCGTGGGGCTGTTTTGTTTTTAAGAATACCTTGAAAATAAAAGGTTTTCTCTTTTGTCTGAACGCAAGCGGCCACGGAGTCTTTTCAGCGGCCCCCGGGAGCCGGTCTCAACCAGCGGGACTCGGGAGAAGGGCCCCCAGGGTGGCCGCAGGAGAGGCACCCTTGGGGTGGGTTTTCAGGGCGAAGCAGGAGGGGGCTCTGGTTGGAGCCATTGGGGGGGGCGAGGCCACTGGGGAGAGACCAGGGCATCGCCTTCAGCGGCCCCATCGCTCCGCCTCTGTGGACAACGGTGGGCCCCCCAGGTGGACGACCGGGAAGGTGCTGTGGAAGCATTTGTGGTCCCTCCATGAGGGCTGTCTCCACTCTCGGCAAGCGTCCGTGCGCATCTAAAGCCACACGGTCTCCGTGCGGTCCACCCTCAGGAGATCCCGGCCCTCGCAGACTTCGCTCTTCTCCACGGTGGTGAACTGTAGAGAGACCTTGTCATGGGACAGATGAGAATTAAGTCAACGCTCGGAAGGTGGGACAGCTCCATTTCCTCCTCTCAGCTGGCCCTTTCGGTGCCCCCGTTGGGCCTGGAAGTGCTGGCCGAGAGGACTTCATCCCTCCCATTTCTTCTCCCGGGGAAAGGGTGGTGGTGGCAGCAGTCAACGCAGCTGCACCCTTACAAGCATCCTCTCGGAAGGGCCCTTTGCTCCTCCTGCCCCTTCCTCACGTGGGGAAGAGAGGAACACAGCTCCATTTCCTCCTCCCAGCTGGCCCTTTCGGGAGCTGGCGGTGCCCCCATTGGGCCTGGAAGTGCTGGCCGAGAGGACTTCATCCCTCTCATTTCTTCTCCCGGCGAAAGGGTGGTGGTGGCAGCAGTCAACGCAGCTGCACCCTTACAAGCATCCTCTCGGAAGGGCCCTTTGCTCCTCCTGCCCCTTCCTCACGTGGAAGAGAGGAAAGGAGCAAAGCAGGCGCCTATTGATCCTTTAGCAGAGAGAGGGCTTTGTGGGGGAGTGAAAACACCCCCAGGGGAAAGTGGGTCAAAGTGGGGTGCCTGGCGAATGCCCCAGGTGGAGAAGGCTTCCGCAGAAGGGAAGCTGGTGATCCCAGGGGCCATGGCCAGCACCACTGGGTGCCCAGCACCTCGCCCCAAAGTCATTCCCCCACCCTAATGGAACAGGGACCTAATCAGACGTGGTAGGGAGCCGCACAGGTCCTTCCCCAAAAGATGGAGAAAGAGGACAAGAGAGCCAATACAACTGGTTCCAGCAATGTCGCAGGAGTTGGCAGAACAACACACGCTGCCAACAGGGACCTAATCAGAGGTGGTAGGGAGCCCCGCAGGTCTTTCCCCAAAAGATGGAGAAAGAGGACAAGAATCGTCATCGAGAAAATGCAAGGGGGCAGCTCTTACTTACCTTCTTCTTGCGTGTCCCCCGACAACACAGCTTCATGTTGAGGAGGACACCTGTGATCAGAAAGCATCGGATACTGAAGATGATTTCCACGGTATCCAGGAAGAAGGAGATACCCCAGAGGACCAGCGCAGAACTCTGGAGAGTGACAAAAAAGACCTCAGCAAGTAGACAATGAGTCGGGAATCGACTAAGGGTTTCACAGACTCGGAGAAAGGCCCCATCCACAACCATCACCCCTCCACCCTTGCCAAGATCAACCCATGTGATCCAAGAAACAAGGCTTCATCGCCCTATCAGATGAAGCAACGATGGAGCCCGACAGGTGGCATGGCTAAGGGTGCCCCCCCCAGCCCCCAGAAAGCACCCGTGTTCCTTCAGGGATCTTTCCACTGCGAGACAAAAAGGATCTTGTAAGGGTAAGGAGGGTGGCAAAGCATGGAAATAAACCACAAAAGCATCATGACTGGGGGTTAATCTATCAGGCTGCGCCAAACCCATCTGATCTCGACTGATTTTGGAAGCTAAACTGGATCAGGCCTGGTTAAGACTTTGCTGGGAGGCATTAAATGCAACACATACAAAACCCCCCTCAAAATCACTCCCCCTCCCACCAAGAAGGATCCTGAGGGTTTTGCAGGAGTTTGGTTGACGTTGTTTATGGTGAGCCGGTTGGCAGATGAGATGATGAGACAGGAGACGGACAGAGAGCCCCAAATTAATGAACGTTCCTTGAAAGGCACGTGATGGGGAGTGTGGGCTTGGTAAATGATAGCACATCTTAGCCAAAGCAGGAGAGACAGAGTCATAGTCCTGCTCACGAGGATCCAGGGCTCCACCAAGATTGCTTTGGGGTCCCGCCAGGGGCAGGGACGCTCCATCCTAACCTGATCTGGGCCCGTGGTCCAGAAAAGCAACTCAGGAAGACGATTCCACAGCACCCAGCCAAGCCTTTCCCCACTTCTGCTCAATAACTGGCCTCCGCCCCCCACCCGCCCCCAGGGCTCCCCGTGACAGGGGCCCCCGTGCCCAGGCAGCCGACTTACGTAAACCCGGGTGGGGTCGAAGGGGCACTCGTGGGCAGGCTGGTTGGATTTGACATCAAAGGGGCAGAGAGCCAGGAGGGTGCGGCCCTTGTTCACAAAAGTGACCACGATGGCCACCGCCAGGCCTGCCATGCAGAAGAGGGAGAAGAGGACGCTGCTGACGCTGAGGGACAAAACCGTCCATTTCTGCCGGGGAGAGAAAGCACGGGTCATTTTGCTCACCCAAGACCAAGGCCCCCCCCCACTTGATCTGGGGAAATCATTCATCCTCCAGCTTAGCCACCGGCTCAAGCCGCTGCCTGGGCTCTGCCAGCTTCTTGCCACGATGCCCATCCCCGTCAAGGGGAGTTGGGCAGAACAGCCTTCCTTCCCCCTCCCAACGGTGCCGCAGGAGATCATTCTGCATGGCGCTGGTTCTTGCATGCCATGAGCCCCCTCTGAAGTGCCCTAAAGCACAGGCTGGGGCACAATCCAATATTGGTATAAAACGCAGCCCGCTCCGAAGTGCAAAACCCATGCATAAACCCATCCGTCCTGTGCTTATCTCAGCCTAGTAATCCCTTAACAAGTGGTCTTCAAGACCTCCTGAAAGAACAGGTCCATGGCCAGGTAGTTCCTGTCCCTCCCCCCATGATGCTGGATGGAATACACAGCGTAGCCACATGCCAGGTAGTGTGGCTGCAAAAATCAGCTTGGAGAGATTCCTCTTGAGCAGGAAGAGGTGCGAACTTGAGGGCCAGGTGGCAACATGGGAACCACCCGTTCATGTGTGAGGCAGTTGGCTCTCCGTGTTTCTTCTGCTGCAGCCACCGGGGAGAGTTTGCAACTTCCGCAGCTACCAGCTTTGCCTGCCCTTGGGTGGGGCAGGCAAGCTGAGCTGCCAGTAAATTAAAGTAAGCAAGTTTGAACGGGAAAGAAAAAGGCCTCAAGTTCAAAGTCCACCTGCCCTTGACCAACAAAGGGAAGGGCAGCTTCTGAAGACAGCTGAGTGTAACTGAGAATCTGGAGGGGCTCCGTCTGGTTGGAAACACAACCCCCTCCCGGTCCCTTGCCGGGCAAGGTTTCCCAGAGGCCACAAGAGAAAAACGTCTTACCAGCCATTTCCGGGACACGTATCTGGACAGCACGATGGCGGCTATGCCACAGAAGATGGTCTGCAAAGAAACACAGATGTCAGGAAGTGACACTCCCCCCACCCCCACCCCGTTCCCCAAGAGTAACATGAGCTGCTATTTTGCTTCTCCCAGGAAGGCTAGAGAGAGAGGGTCAGCATTTCAAAGCCAAGCTATCAATGGAGGCAAAGGGATGGGGCATTCAAAGAATTTGGACATGTTCTCTTTGATCTCAAGACCCTAAGAGGTGGCATGCTTTAAAAAGAAGAAGCAGAAGTAGTCACACGTTTGGCAAAAATACACTGGCTTTTTGAACTCCACTGCCATGTAACTGTGAGCTAAAATGAATCAAAATCCCCTGGCATTATGGTGGGGCCAGGAAGAGAGATGACAAAAAGGAACACATTGCAGAGAATCTGAGTTGAACATCTATCCCCAGAGATGAAAGGGGGGCTTTTTTTCCTGCCCACTTAATTCTAAAACCGAGCCAGCAGGAACCCTGATCTCAGGGAGGCTGATTCTGTGTTTGTATCCAGTCCACAATCAGAGACGATGTGGCATTTCCTTATTTATTACATTGATACCCAACCAGTGAGGTTTGGAATGAAAGGCATTTACGCCTCGATATTCCTCTGGGGTGGAGGGCCTGTTCGAGTCCGGAGAAAAGTGACCCAGATGTGGAGTAAAGATATAATGTAATATATATGTTGGGGACTGCAGGGCTGGAAGGGACCCTATGCTGTAAAGAGTCCAACCCCTACCAAGGAGGACCCGTGGGGGGAATCGAACTCCCAGCCTTTGCGGCCAGAGACCTTAAACCCAATAAATGAACATTTATTTGCCCGGTGACCGGGTTTGCTTCTTGCTGTTGCACCACCAAGTGACCGAATCTGCCACCTCCACCCCTCCTTTCCATTGTGCTGCTTCTCCACCCTCCCCCCCAAGGAAAGCCCAGGAGAGGAAATGCATACCAACATGGCAGAAACTGCTGTAATGATGTTGGAAACGGCATACTGCAGAGAAATGGTGTCCCGGGGGTTGGCAATGTGGCGCAACACCGTCCCGTGCACCAGAGCCCCTGTGATGAAGTTCAAGTGGCCGATCACGATCAGGATGAGGCCGGTTTTCATCAAGAGCTTCTGAGTGGCACTGGAGTCCAGGTGATCTGAAAAAAAAAGCGGGGGGTTGTTGGAACTCTGGTTCGACAGAAACAATCAGGGGTTTCTGCACTTTTTTCAGCTGGCCATCCGCTTTTCTAACCCTCACTTCAAGCACAGCCACGTCCCACCGATTTCCCCAAGGGCATTTCCAAGAAGAGCAAAAACATTTTGGACCTTTTTTTCTAATAACGCTGCCATGCACTCTAGCCCCATGTTTCCCCTGAATTCCCTCCTGTCATAGCAAGATCTCATTCCTGCTTGCTCTCTGCCATTCTAACTTCATCTCTGTGTATATGAAATTAGGATTTCTCTTTAAAAAAAGGATCATACTGTTGGGGAAGGCAGTAGGAAAAGAGGAAAACCAAATACAAGGCGGACTGACTCCCTCAAGGAAGCCACAAGCCTGAGTTTGCAAAAGCTAAGCAAGTCTGTTGAGGACAAGACACGTTGGAGATAGCTCATTCTATAAGTCACCATAAACCAAGGGCAACTTAACAGCACACACAACAACAACAACAACTCCCCCATAGCATTCATTTTCTTCTCTAAATGGGAGAAAGAAATACCACTTGCTTACTCTCTGGACCGCTCAGGCTCCTGCTCCCAAAGACTTCACAATTAAGAAACGTGGAGTTTGCAAATGAAAATCCCAGTGTTTAATTATTTAGCCCCCCTAGAATGCAAGGAAAGATGACCAGAGACCCCATAGTTTGCTGTAGAGCATCTGATTATAACTCTAAGAGCTTTCAGAGGTGTTTGGGGGAGGCAGAAAATGTATTTTAGAATAATGCATTTCCTCAATTTATTTCCTTGCTTCTGATCAAAAAATAACAAGCAATGCAACATTGTGTAGTTAATTTGCTTTGTTCTGCTTTGTTCTTCTTCCCTTCACAATTGTTTCCAGGTTACGGAGCACAGACCAACATATTTACCCTGCTTTGTGGGGGGGGGGCACTGATTTCCACCAACTAGGCTACCTGCAAACCCAAGTGTAATGTGGGTGGGGAGGTGGGGGCTGCCTGGTCGGCTGAAAAACGTTCCAGGTGGTCTAGCAGGGCACATGGAAGCTTCCAGTGAATTGCAAAACCAGCCCTTGTTTTTAAAACCTGGAACCTTGTGAAGCAGTATTAAACACAATTTCAGAGCACTCACATTATGCAAGGTGATGGACTAGCAGTGTTTAAAACCGCCCTGTTTAATTTTTCATTCTGATTTTCCAGTTTACAATGCGCTGCAGGTTCATTATACTCAGAGACCGGATAGGAAAGAGGCCATAAATAAAAAATAGGCAACACTTTACTAAATCTGTGCTGTAAAATTAACACTCTTGCTTTCCGCCCATCCCTTGCACGTCCACCCAATGAATAGCAACAATATTTTGCCTATGACGGCACAAGTAATGTGGTGGCGGCTGATGAGAGAAATTTCAGCAGAGTCAGGCCTTGCACAGCAAGAGCCGGTGAAGAGATCAAAGATGGTGCAGAAGAAGTTAGCAGTCACAGGGTCTGGGGGGGGGGATAAAAGAAGTCAGCCTGGCAGAGCAGATGCCGGGAAAAGCTTGACATCATTCTCAGTGTTGCCTTCTAGCCAGAAGGGTTCCCTTTTTATCCTTCAAACAAGTAACTTTCCCAAGACGTTGACATTTGATGGGCTCGTCTGCATAGAGCTACACGGCACCATGAGTGCGCCCTGCTGATGGCTGTAGCTTTGCAAGGGGAGGAGAGGGGAATCAGGAGAAAGCTTGTGCGTGTGATCCAGGCCATGCTGGAGATGATGCCAGGAGCTGATGGAGTTGGAACAGTGTGCCTGGAGCCAGCCAGGCACCTAGTGGAAGAAGCCACGCCATCCTCAGGCCATGGCGTCGCCAGCTCCTGTGCTATGACGTTCCTCAGCGCTCGTTCCCAGAAATGGTCATGAATGAAGTAACCCGGGACCCGCCTTCCTCTTTCCCTGGAGGAAAATCCCCTCTCCAGATAGCTGTGCTGGGAGAACATTTACAGCCGGGGATTCTTTTCCGAAGGAACTTTCCATTCCCAGAGGAGTTAACTGGAAACTCATCAGGGCCTGTTGATCTAAGGAGTCATAAGGAAGTCCAAAATAATGTGGCATTTCCTATCCAAGCCAGCCATGGAGTCTTTAAAGATTAACCACTCGTCAAACAACACCTGCTAGCAGGCCAGGTCATCTTCCTGCTGGGAGGACATCCTCAAAGGATCAACAGTGGAGGGTGCGGCGGTTGGAAGACACCCCCCACCCCGGGAAGGGTGGATTTCAAAAGACAACATGCCAGTTGCAGGGACAGGACTTTAGACTTTGCCTTCTCAGCTTGGTGGGGGCAGGGTACTTCTCGAAAGTCGGATCACTGAGAATACCTGTAGGGACAGGTGGTTTTCCTACGTGAGGCTTCCCACCTCCCCATCTTCTTTTTTCCCCACGTGCCAGCACAGAGGCCAAGGGCCGGCCTCTTAAGGACCGAGGGGTTCATGAACGTCTGTTGCGTGCACCACCCCTGGGGAAGAGTCAGAGGCTGTCAACGGAGGTTGCGTTTTTTACATGCCACCAAGGCAGTTCGGATTTATGGCCGCGACCCTTATGAATTCATGACATCCAAAGGCTTATATCATTAAGGCTCAATCCATTTCATGGTGGGTCTCCTTTTTCTCCTGATGCCTTGAAAATCTTTGCAGGACGATGGCCTTTTGCAGTACTCTTCTCATAATATGCCCAAAGGACGATAGCCTCAGTTTAATCATTCGGCCTTCAAAGGGCCCTCTGGGCTGGAGTTGATCTACCAGCCGCTCATTTGTCTGTTGCTGTTGCTGTTAATGTACCACTCAATCTCTTCTAACTGATGCCAACCTTAATGGGACTTTTAAGGTATGTTAGACGTTCAAGGAATTTACTGTTATCAAACACTCCCATGAGTTTGATCGAGCAAGGATTTGAACCCAGGTCTCCAAAGCCCTAATCTTGACCCTCTTATTTATTTATTTATTTATTTTTTTATTTTATTTTATTTTATTTTATTTTATTTTATTTATTTATTTATTTATTTATTTATTTATTTATTATCCCGCCTATCTGGTCATGACCAGTCATGACCACTCTTACAAATACATCTATCCTCTCTCAGGAGAAGAGCTTTCTGTTAATTTCCGCTGCCGAAGAAGACCGTTGGCATTTAATTAAATCCCAAGAAATGAAATGAAACAAGACAAAAACAGGTGGCACCTTAAAGACTAAATATTATATTTTAATGTAAGCTTTCCTGGACTCGTCCACTTTGTCAGACACTAACTGACAGAATGAATTGGAATGAAGTGTAGATGAAATATCAGTTTCACCTTCTAGATGTTTGTTAGTTACATGCAATAATTAGGCTTCTGTTTGTTTTAGGGTCCTGTTGTAAAAAAAAACACACACACTTTGGGAAGACAGAAAAAAGACACCAGGTCTGAGCAGAGATGAGATGGAGGTGGGTGGGGGGAAGAGAAAAAAAAGAGAGAGGGTGGGTTGGAGGTGCTGAGGACGCAGCAAACCCCACAAGGGGAAAGAAAGAAGGAAAGACGTTAGCCGAGGAATCTTGTGTATTAAGGTAGGGGAATATAGACAGTTTTTACCTTAGAGCCTTGTGTTCCTCATCAGATTTAGGCAAACCATTTCACCTATCCCTATGCCTAAACTTAAATA